CCCTTGCAGAAGATGTCAAGATGGCCAACAGTTTGGATGAGACTGAAGGGGGCCGGGCAAATCAGTGGAGGCTATCCAAGCTCCTAGTCCTCTTGGCTACCTCCAGTGTTCGTATGTGCCCGTTGCTGGGGAACATGGGCAGGAAGGCACTTTTGCACACCTCTCCTTTGCGGCAGTGAACAGAAGGCTGGATGAACTGGGAAGGGGGCCTGGGGGGAGTGAGGAGATTCAGGAGAGCTGGAAGTGGAGAATGGGCAGAGGGCCACTGGCATAACCAAGCTGCTGAAAAGGGGGACTCTCTTTGGCCCCAGCCAAAGGGTGGCTCTTCTGAGCGGGAACCCCTTCCCCAGCCGTGGGCTGAACTCTGCTGCTACAGGATGTTCATCAGGGTAAGGGGCTGAGCAGTGTCTTCGCCCACGCTGGGAAGGGGGTGCAGGGCCCGACTGCACCCGGAAAGAGGGCGCTTTGCTCCAGTGCTACATGACTGCCTGCTCTTACTAATTATCCTCGGTGGGAAATATGTCAGGGCCCTTAACCCCTTAAGTGTCCTGCAGTTGTTTTGGCCTACAGTTCCCATTGTCCCCAGCATCACCGCTAGGCCTAGCTCAGAGCAGGCTTATTTATTTAGGGAACTTCTATGCCGCCCCATTTGCCAAAGCCTCGGGGTGGCTCACAAACATAAATAAATAACATCATATAAAACAATATAATTTAACAGTATAAATTAAGGCTTGCACTCCAGGCTGGAAAATCCAGAGGCAACCCTCCCCTTACTGGAAAAAGTGGGATCCTCGGAGCTGTGGGGGGGGGGGCATCACCTGGGGCAGCAGATCCAGTCCGTGATCTACTTCTCTGGGGGAAAGAAGAGGCAGACACAGCAGATCTAACCCAAAATAACTTTATTGCTGCTGTTGCTCGTGGTACAAAAGTCGGAACTGGAAGCTGCCTGAGGGCCGGATCCTGGTCTCAGTGCCGTGTGTGGCCCAGAAAGAGGCTGCCAGCACCTGGAAAGGAGCGCTGCGGGCTTGGCACGGAGGAGCCGAGGACCACACCTCCCAGCATCCCCCGCACACAGAAAAATAACACGTGCACACACACACTCACCCCATGGCTAATTGAGTATTACCTTTATCATCATCCTTAATATTATTATTAATATATGGGAAACACCATTTGGCAAAACCCAAAACAACTACAGCACAATAAACCCAGCATTGCAAGTTTACCACGAGGTCTTTGGCTCCTGCTTGGCACAAGCCCTATCCTGTTGGGGAGGTGGGCGGGGGGGGGGGGGGAGGCCCAGAGGATTCAAGTTTTAATGCATCCAGGAAGCCAAGTGCCCAGGTTTTTTCCCTGGGGGAGGGAATGGGACGGATCCAGGTCAGGCTGAGGACATGTTGCTCCAGAACTCCATTCAAAATCATCCTCTTTGTACAGGGGTGTGTGTGGGGGGGGGGGGGAACCTAGGGACTCACACAAAAGGAAACGAGGCAAAATTCTTGAGTGCGTTGCACAGCTTTTGTGTGTGTACACAGTGAGCTTGAGCAGCCATGGCAGCAACAAGTGGGTGCTTTGGTTCACTGAGCTTCAAGGCACCCTGAAAGCCATCCAGGAGGGCCCCTTGCCCCAGGCCAGAGGGGCTGAGCCCAAGGGGACTCCAGCCTTGGCAGCAACGCCCCCAGACGCAGCCTCAGCTCACTCCCCCACAGAGGCAATCCCACACACCCACTTTATGGGGTTGCTGCCAGGGGCACTGCAGGGCTTGTAGGAGGCTGAACTCCCCCTTGCAGAAGCCCTCAGGCTCCATGCTGGGTGGGCAGGGACAAAGCAAAATAAAATGAAAGCAAGAGACCAGCGCATCCCAGTGCAAGGAAGTGAAGCAGCAGCCCCTGGATGTTGGTTTCACGGTCACAGCTGGGTTCCCAGTGCTGAGGCTGGAAACCATGGTGCCCTGGGAGCTGGAGGGGGTCAAGGGGTTGTTCTGGTGGGGAGGGAGAGGAGCAGGCCACAGAGGCCAGGGCAGCATGCACCCTGGGCCCTCCACTGCCTCTGTCCCTCCCTCTCAATCTGAAGTGCCCCAGCAAGATAGCTGCAAGTGACCATGCCAGCCCTCCCCCTCTGCATGGGATGCCCGGGTTCCCACGGGTTCGGGGCTTATGGGCATCCGAATGGGCCACATGCAGGAGCTTTAGGCAAGGAGTTTCAAGGGGGAGGGGAGGAAGCTGCGAAAGGGCTGGGCAGCCCCACCATGGCTGGTGGTTGGGGGACACCAGGTGGGCCAAGGAAAGGGAGCCAAGTGGGATCCCGGGGCACAGCACACGGCAAGGGCCTCGTTTGGGCAAGACGTGCTCACCGTGCTCAGACACAGCTTTGTTCACAGGTGATGAAACTTGCCATATCTGCCATGTACCGTATTTTTCCATGTATAAGACAATACTTTTCCTTAAAAATATTTACCTAAAAATGGAGGGGTGTCTTATACACAGGGGGCCAAGAAGAGAATCACGGTTGTGAAGCTGCCGATCTCTGCAAACTAGCCTCGAGCGAAACTTCCGATTGCAGAGACAAGCTAGCAGGTTTCCTGCAATCGTGAGCCTTTATGTAACTGACTTCTGTGGATGCTGTGGGGAGCGTGTAGCCCAGGGGTCCTCAAACTTTTTCAACAGGGGGCCAGTAGAAAGGTGGGTGCAGGCACGCTCGGGGTGGGGAGATGGGCATGATCGCAGGCGCGCGCGCGGGGAGGTGGCGATGCAGCTGCATGGCGAGGCAGCAGCTTGCTCGCTCAGAGATTGGGAAGAAAAGTGGGGGACGTCCTATACATGGGGGCACCTTATAGACAGAAAAAATACGTACCTTCCCATCCCCTTTCCATCATCCGCTTGGATCTCCGTTTGTTAAACCCAGCATCCCCAGAGTGCACAAAATGAGGAACTCCAGCTTGCAGTCCATTTGCTAAACTAGGATCAAATAATGGTTTCAGATCCTGGTTAGGCAATGGATGTTAGACCAGCATGCCACAGAGAGGAGGAGCAAGCGAGGGGCTAGGGAAGCCTTGTTTCCAAGCCATTTGAAAAGCCAGGATTGGGCCACTGAAGCAGATTCATGGAAGGAAGGCTGGCAAGGCTATCAACATCAGCCTCTGAACCCCTCTCATGTGACAAAGTGCCCCCCCCCCCCCGGTGTTTACGCAGAAGTGAGCCCCACAGTGCCCTGTGGGGTTTGCTTCCTGGTCTTGGGATCACAGCCTCGAAAAGCTTCATGGACGAAGCAGAACAAAATGGGGGCCAAGGGGAGAAGTCCCTGCGGCAGAACAGAAGCAAGCGTGGTGCTCGGCTCCTAAAGCAGAGCAAGTCCTCGGCCTCGAAAGCTGGGACTGTTCCCTATTTTGGATTTTGGCTGGGGAAACAAGCCAGTCCTAATTTTAAGTCTTGGGGTAAAAAGTCCTTGTTTCCATATTACCCTGGTAATTTCTCTTTGAGCCAAGCAATGCTGTTTTTCCTTTCTCCCTAAAATGCCTCCCTGTCCAACAGCCCAAGTGGGGCAAGATGTAAAGAAGGGTGAGGAAGGCTTGCAAGGCGTGGGGTTTGTGCTTGAGCGCTTGCCCTCTCCCTCTCCTTTGCACCCTTCGTTTCCTGCCCTAAGGAAGCCCCAACTGTTTTGCTGTGGGAGCAGGATCCTTGTAGAAGGCAGACCCCGCATTTTAAATAGCTGCACGAAAGGCGGTGCCCCTTGGGCTCCCCCTGAAATGGCCGAGTGTGTCCACTCATTTCCCTGAAGGCCCTGGTTCTCCTTCTGTCATTATCTGGGGGAACGTGCCATGGATGGTGGCTGAAGTTGGCAGCATGGCATTCTGGGAAGTGCCAGCAACTTGGGGCCCAGGGAAATACACTGGCATGGAGCCGTGGAAAGGGCACCCTCCGGTGGGGCCTGAAGCAGCGGGCGCCTCAACCAAGTGGGCGCAAATCCAACAGAACTGGCACAGCTCCTCCTCCTCACATTGGTGGCGACCAAAGTTTACTGTTTAGCACCAAGGTCACCAGGTGCTGAACAAAGCCGGCAGGAACAGAGGCACAAACTTTCTGTCCAGAGCAGGTGTTGAAGCGGCTTTCATTTGCAGGGGAAACACTTTCAAGGAGTTTTCTACCACACTAGGGCAGTTTCCACCCACTTTACTACTTGCCACTCCTCCCTTTGAAGCAGGCATGCCGATGCAAGTCACTGCTGTTCAAGAAACTGTAGTGCACTCTGCAAAATACTGCAAGGGATGGTGTGGAAATACACTAAGGAAGTACCTAAAAGCGCTGGAGGAAGAGGAGCTCCTTGGGTTCACTGCGGTCTAGAAGACGTAAGGCACTGCCTGGGAGAAAGGAAGACAGGCCACCGTGATGCTTGGCCTGCCTCAGCTTGTTCCCACCCAACCAGGTGATTCCTAGAGAAGGTGCCAGGGAAGTTTTGCTCAGAACTTCACTGGTGCCACTCAGTTAATTCTAGTGCACTTTGGAGGAGACTGGGCAAGCCGAGCGTGCGGCACAGCCGGCCTCTTTCGGCTCTCCGCCCACTCACCAGCCTGGAAGCGCAAAGTAAACAAGGCTGGGTGCCTGGCGAGAAACTGAGGTGCCCACCACTTTGGGTGAGGGGCAAAGAGAAGAGCCAGCAGGGATGACGATGTGGGAGGCTCTGACCTACGAAAGCCCTTGGCAAGGGGAGGTTCTTGGCCGAAAGAGGTGGCTTTTGGGGTGGGGGGGTGTTTGCCTTCCTGCTGTCATCCTTGGCCACGCCCGGAGTCTCTCACCATGGCAGAGGTCAGGGCACATGAGAAGGCAGGAGGGGCGGAGGACAGCGTTGGCTCGGGCCCGGCTCTGAAGCCTTCCCCAGGGCAGAACCCCAAGGGGCAGGCAGGTGATGCTGGCAGGAGGAGGTGTGGCTTTTCTGGGGGCAGGGGTGGAGTGGGGCAGTGTGCTGCCCGGGCCTCGTTCTCCTTGGTGTCCCTAGGCACGGGGTTAGAAGAGGTGGAGCTGCAACCTCATCTTGAGCGCCTGGCCGAGCTCTCCGGAAAGGTAGTTGAGATCCTTCAGGGCCTCCAGCTTGTGCAGTTCCCACTTGCGGTACAGGGGCACGCTGACGATCTCCAGGAGGTAAGTGCCGGGGGCGGCCCGCTTGCCAGCCAAGTGCAAGAAGCTCAGCCCCTCCTTCTGGTGGATGCTGAAGTAGCCCTGCTGGTTCCCCTGGGAGATCACATAGCGGATGCGCTTCTCCAGGGTCGCCACAGCGGGCAGCAGCTCCAGGATGTGCTCCTTGGGCAGCAGGTCGGAAGTGTTCAGAACCACCACCAAGGGGGTGTCCACATCTATGCTAGCCAAGCTGACGCCTAGCTTCTGCACCGAGGGAGGGAGGGAGAGGAGAGGACAGAGGTCAGGGTAAGACGAGGCGAAACAAGGGGCAAATCACAGTTGTCACTGATCAGCACTGAGTTTTCTAGGGTGCACAGCAATGCAAAGGCCTGCCTGTGTTCCAACTCCCCAGTTACTGCATCTGAAACTGGAGGCAGTCTATAGCCCCTAGGACTGGCAGTCAGGTAGCGTTTCTGCCCCCTGCATCTCCTAACCCCCTTTTGCCTCCTCTTGTATCTGTGGGGAGATCCCTCCCTCCCTCTTCTCAGAGTAGAACTCAGTGGGAGCCATCCAGTGAAGTTTACATTTTGCACCTGCATCTTGCAGGGCCAATCCTAGCAGCTCCTAGTAAAATATCTCACGATCTACATCTGTCCCAAATTCATGACCCCTCCTTAAATCCATCCTGGCCTCCTAACACAAGTCTTGGCCAGGATTTATATGGGGTATGGTTTCCCACATTCCCCATACACCACATTTGGGGTGGGGGGTTTCTTTCTCAGTTTCTTGAACAAATTCTGACCATTGTGCTTGACCTTCTGCTACTTTTGCAATACAGCAGCGGCCAGGCGAAGGGATGGAATCTATCAAGGTGTGTTTTTGGTGTGGGACCTTACAGATTTGCACAGGGGATAAACACTGCATCAAAAAGGGTTTGGGTACAACCGTGCGCATCCCCTCACTGAGAAAGTTGCCAAGGGGCCTGTGCGGCCAGAAAGCTGGGCCTAACCCACACGCACACAGAGCTCAGCAATCCAAGCACAGCAGCAGGCAACCTGGAGAGCCCCTTTTGGCTTGCTCCTGCTTCAGGAACAGGGGCGCAGGATTGAGGCCTCCCCATACTGGGAAGAATCCAAAGGGCATCTCTCTGTGGGACAAAGGCCCCGTCTCCCCCCACTGCACCTGGAGCATGCGGGTGCCATTGATGCTGCGTCGGTGTCGCCCTCCCTCAGGGTACCCGTTGATCTTGCACTCGTAACAGGCCTCAGGTGAAAGCAGGTTCTCCTCCTCTTCGTCCGGTGGAGCAGGCAGGTAGGCCTCCTTGCCGAACCCTAAGCTGGAGATGCAGTGGCTGTGGATCAAAGACAGTGTAAGCAGTGGATGATGGAGAAAGAGGTCCTTGCATAATGGCAAGGATGCGACGGGGTGTGTGTGGAAAACAGGGCTGGCTGTTTGCCGGGGAGGGAGCAGCTGGATCTGGCTGGATTGTGGGGCCCTTACCACAGAATCCGCGAATTGTATGGTTGGGAGGGGCCAGGAAGGCCATCAAGTCCACCCCCCTGCTGTTGCAGGACACTATGTTACACCCTCCTGTTCAGGTTGCTGCCCAGCTTCTTTCTGAATAACTCCAGTGTGGGAGAGCCCCCCACCTCTCCAGGCAGCTGGTTCCACTGTTGTATTGCTCTGACCGTGAGGAAGCTTTTTCTGATGTCCAGCCTTAATCTGGGTTGTCGCAACTTGAACTGATTATTCTGTGTCCTTCACTCTGGCATCAGCAAGGAGAGATCTTGACCTTCCTCTTTTTGTGACTTAGAGAGGGATACCATGTCCCCCCTCAGCCTTCTCTTCTCAAGGCTGAACATGCCCAGTTCTCGCTGTCTCTCCTCACAGGGCAGTTTCCAAACCCTGGATCATTTTTGTTGCCCTCCGCTGGACCCTAATGTTTCTGCACCTTTCTTAAATCTTGGTTCCCAGGTCTGACTAGTGAAGAGCATGAGGGAACGATTACTCCTCTCTGACCCTGTGCACCCACTTCCATTTCGGAGGAGCACTCCGTGGTCGGACTCCAGTGGTGGGTGAGGACAATGCAAACACTCGCGCTCAAACACCAACAATCCCAGCCCATTGCGGCGGAAACTTACTGCTCGCAAGAGGTCTACACACAGATCCCTGGCAAGCTGTCAGAATGGGAACCCCACAAGCCAAACATGGGCAAGACACCAAATGGGAGAGGGTATGTGGCCAGGAAAAGGGAGTGCCTCTCCATCTGGGGAGCGGTCCGTGCTGGGCTGGGCTGGGCCGGAGGTTCCCCAGCCTTGGAGTGGTTCCTTTCAGTTCTATGATTCTGTGAATCAACCGGGAGCTCCCCAAGCGATTTGCAATGGGCGCCGCTTTGGTATTATCTGAGCTGGGCAGAAGGAAGGTCTGAACAATCAGCAGCAGGCGGGAGCAGATTTTGGACTCCCAGGGGCTCAGCCAGGATTCCACACCACCCCCAACTATCCTGCTGAAATGAGAAAAGCTGGCAGGGGAATGAGGAATGGGAAGGACCATGAGCTCCGTTCCGTTCCAGTTCCCCAGAGCTGCCGCACTCTTTAATTCTGCATGCAGGCTCTAACTGGCAGGTGTCAGGTTTCTAAGTAAATTGTTGAAGAAAGAAGATCCCAATAACTGGCATCTGCCTCCCTGTCCTACAAGATAGGTCCCTGTGGAAAGTAATGAGAGAAACACATTTTTTAATCTAAAAGTAAAACACTTTAAATGCTTGCATCTTTGTCCAAACTCTGGAATTCTGGCAGGGGTGATGCCTAGTGGGGAAAAGAGGAGGTGGGCTTCAGTCTTGAACAGGAGTGGGGGTGAAGGGAGAAATGAGGATGGGTCGGGAGTACAGAGGTGTGGGGAGCAAAGCACGGAGTCCGTTTGTGGGGCTGTCTGCACGTTCTCGAGGAGAGAGGGGTTGCAGGGCATTTGATCCACTTACCCTTGGCCTGCCCGGAAGTAACCGCTTGGACACCCACACAAGTAGCCCCCCTCCGTGTTGGAGCAGCCGTAGCTGCAAGGGCTTCCTCCCGCCGCGCACTCATTCACGTCTTGGCACCCCCCGAAGGCCTGGTCGAAGTCGAAGCCCGAGGGGCAGAGGCACTTGAAGCTTCCCAGGGTGTTGTAGCAAGAGGCGGAGCCACAAGCTGAGGGGCTGGAGCATTCGTTCTCATCTGTGGCCGGAGGAAAGCACGCGTGTGGGTGCTGGCATGGGGACTGGTTAGCCCAGACCCAAAGGTTTGTGCGTGCCCAGATCTGTGGTCCTTGGATGGATCCAAAGCCACCCCAACACTGCAACAGTGAGGGCCGAACTTTACATGCTGACTCAATGGAAAATGTGAAGAAGGCCCTGTGCCTTGCTTCCGACAGTGGACAGCCAGAGACTCACAAGCACAATGCAAGGGCACCTGCTGCCTTCCCTTCTTATGTCCTCAGCATTATATGTGGTATGCTATTTTTAATGGCTACTTTTAAGAAGAAAATACAGTTCCCTAAGCCACAGGTCCCCTTCATGGATCACTGCCTTGTCATGGCGAAGGGGCTTGTGTAGCTCAATGAAGCTATGAGCTATGCCGTGCAGGGCCACCCAAGACGGACAGGTCATAGCAGAGAGCTCTGACAAAATGTGCTCCACTGGAGAAGGAAATGGCAACCCACTCCAGTATCCTTGCCATGAAAACCCCATGGACAGTACCAAAGGGCAAAACGATACGACGCCGGAAGATGAGCCCCTCAGGTTGGAAAGTGTCCAATGTGCTACTGGGGAAGAGCAGAGGGCTAGTACTAGTAGCGCCAGAAAGAGTGAAGTGACTGGGTCAAAGCCGAAAGGACACGCAGTTGCGGATGCATCTGGTGGTGAAAGGAGAGTCCGATGCTGCAAAGATCTATACTCCATAGGAACCTGGAATGTAAAAGCCATGAATCAAGGCAAGCTGGACGTGGTCAGACAAGAGATGGCAAGACTGAACATTGACATCTTAGGAGTCAGTGAACTGAAATGGACAGGAATGGGTGAATTTAATTCAGAGGACCATCGGGTATACTACTGCGGGCAAGAATCCCTCAGAAGAAATGGAGTAGCCTTCATAGTCAATAAAAGAGTAGGAAAAGCAGTACTGGGATACAATCTCCAAAATGACAGAATGATCTCAGTTCGAATCCAAGGCAAACCATTCAGCATCACAGGAGTCCAAGTCTATGCCCCAACCACTGGTGCTGAAGAGGCTGAAGTTGACCGGTTCTATGAAGGCCTACAACACCTTCTAGAATTAACACCAAAAAATGATGTCCTTATAATCATGGGGGGTTGGAATGCTAAAGCAGGAAGCCAAAAGATAACCTGAATAACAGGCAAGTTTGGCCTTGGAGTACAAAATGAAGCAGGGCACAGGCTGGAAGAATTTTGTCAAGAGAATACGATGGTCATAGCAAACACTCTTTTCCAACAACCCAAGAGACGACTCTACAAATGGACATCACCAGACGGTCAACACAGAAATCAGATTGACTATGTGCTCTGCAGCCAAAGATGGAGAAGCTCTATACCAGGGGTCTCAAACTCAACTTACCTGGGGGCCGCTGGAAATAGAGTCTGGGTGAGGCTGGGCCGCATCAAGTATTCCACCGCCGCAGTGGTGGTGGGCCGCTCATCCCGCGGCCGGCCTGGGTGCCACCGGCACTTTGAAGGCCGCAGGGCTCCTCCCCCGTGCCCCGCCTATCCCGGCAATGGGCCCGCGGGCCGCGAGTTTGAGACCCCTTTTCTAGACAGTCAGTAAAAACAAGGTCAGGAGCTGACTGTGGCTCAGATCATGAGCTTCTTGTTGCAAAATTTAGGCTTAAACTGAAGTAGGGAAAAGCACTAGACCACTCGTGTATGACCTAAATCATATCTCTGATTAATATACAGTAGAGGTGACACATAGATTTAAGGAATTAGATCTGACAGAGTGCCTGAAGAACTATGGATGAAGGTTCGCAACATTGTACAAAAGGAAGCAACCAAAACCATCCCAAAGAAAAAGAAATGCAAGAAAGCAAAATGGCTGCCTGAGGAAGCTTTACAAATAGCTGAGGAAAGAAGGGAAGCGAAAGGCAAGGGAGAAAGAGAAAATACAAACAATTGAATGCAGAATTCCAGAGAATAGCTAGAAGAGATCAGAATGCCTTCTTAAATGAACAGTGTAAAGAAATAGAAGAAAACAATAGAATAGGGAGGACCAGAGATCTCTTCAAGAAAATTGGAGATATGAAGGGAGCATTTCATGCAAAGATGGGCATGATAAAGGACCAAAATGGCAGGGACCTAACAGAGGCAGAAGAGATTAAGAAGAGTTGGCACGATTACACAGAAGAACTATACAAGAAAGAGCTTAACGTCCCTGATAACCACGATGGGGTGGTCACTGACCTCAAGCCAGACATCCTGGAATGTGAAGTCAAATGGGCCTTAGGAAGTCTGAGCAACAACAAAGCTAGTGGAGGCGACAGTATTCTAGCTGAGCTATTCAAAATCCTAAAAGTTGATGCAGTAAAAGTGCTACACTCAATATGCCAGCAAATTTGGAAAACTCAACAGTGGCCACAGGATTGGAAAAGGTCAGTTTACATTCCAATCCCAAAGAAGGGCAATGCCAAAGAATGTTCAAACTACCGCATCATTGCACTCATTTCACATGCTAGCAAAGTTATGCTCAACATCCTACAAGCTAGGCTCCGGCAGTATGTGGACCGAGAAGCCAGTGTGTGGACAGAGCCAGTGTGGTGTAGTGGAAAAGAGCATGGGACTGGGACTCAGGCAATCTGGTTTCTAGTCCCTGCTCAGCCATGGAGCCAACTGGGTGACTTTCGGCCAGTCACAGACATTCAGCCCAACCTACCTCACAGGGTTGTTGTTGTTGTGGGGATAAGATGGAGGAGGAGAATGATGTAAGCTGCCTTGAGCCCTTTGTAGGAAAAGGCAGGATATAAATCAGAGGGGAAAAAAACATAGAGGCAGGGCTTCGAAGAGGCAGAGGAACTAGAGATCAAATTGCCAACATACGCTGGATCGTGGAGAAAGCTAGGGAGTTCCAGAAAAACTACTTCTGCTTCATTGACTATGCCAAAGCCTTTGACTGTGTAGATCACAACAAATTGTGGCAAGTCCTTAAAGAGATGGGAGTACCAGACCATCCTATTTGTCTCTTGAGAAACCTGTATGCGGGTCAAGAAGCAACAGTGAGAACTGGACATGGAACCACTGATTGGTTCAAAATTGAGAAAGGAGTTTGGCAAGGCTGTATACTGTCGCCCTGCCTATTTAACTTATATACAGAGTACATCATGAGAAAGGTGGGGCTAGATGCATCACAAATTGGAATTAAGATTGCTGGGAGAAATATCAACAACCTCAGATATGCAGGTGATACCACTCTCATGGCAGAAAGTGAAGAGGAACTAAAGAGCCTCTTGATGCGGGTGAAGGAGGAGAGCACAAAAGTTGGCTTAAAACTCAACATTAGGAAAACTAAGATCTTGACATCTAGTCCTCTCACTTCCTGGCAATTAGATGGGGAAGAAATGGAGGTAATGACAGACTGTATTTTCCTGGGCTCCAAGATCACCGCAGATGGGGATTGCAGCCAAGAAATTAAAAGATACTTGCTCCTGGGGAGGAAAGCTATGGCAAATCTAGACAGCATATTAAAAAGCAGAGACGTTACAGCTGCCAACAAAAGTGCGTATAGTCAAGGCTATGGTTTTCCGGTTGCAATGAATGGCTGTGAAAGCTGGACCCTAAGAAGGCTGAGCGCCGAAGGATTGAGGCCTTTGGATTGTGGTGCTGGGGGAAACTCCTGCGAGTCCCTTGACTGCAAGAAGATCAAACCGGTCAGTCCTAGAGATCAGCCCTGACTGCTCTTTAGAAGGCCAGATACTGAAGATGAAACTTGAATACTTTGGCCACCTAATGGGAAGGAAGGACTCACTGGAGAAGAGCCTAATGCTGGGAATGATTGTCGGCAAAAGAAGGAGGGGGCGGCAGAGGATGAGGTGGCTGGATGGGGTCACTGAAGCAGTTGGTGTGAGCTTAAGTGGACTCCGGGGGATGGTGGAGGACAGGAATGCCTGGAGGAATGTTGTCCATGGGGTCGCGATGGGTTGGACATGACTTCGCGACTAGCAACAAGCAACAAAGCCACAGGTGGGCAGCCTGATGGCCTTCATGTGGTTTGGATTACAGTTCCCATCACCTTCTGCCAAAATGGCCAATGATAAGAACTATGGGAGTTGTATTACCTGATGGGCACTGGGTTGCCTGCCTCCAATCTAAGCAATGCACAAGGAGTTTAAATACATAGGAGCACTTCAATGTATTTTCAGATTGCAAGCCCCTTGGGGCAGAAGCTTCCCCTATGACTGATGCACTTCCACTTAGCTATGACAGCTTAGCCAGAAATATGGGCAGTGTTTAATTGCGCCATCCCTTTAGCATCAAGGACACTGTGTCGGCATGGTCTGAACTCTATACAAGTAGCTGATGAGAGCTGTGTTTGCACAAGCACCCTTGTGCAATGGGGTGCACGTGCTGAGCACAAGTGGCAGTGCACAGGCATTGCACAACAGAAAGAGTTGCACAATTCTACTTGTGCGGGTTTGGTTTGTGGAGGCACCCTGCTGGATCCTGCCCCAGGAGGGCAATCGATCTTTCCACCCACGTGCCACTTACCCACGCACTGGTTCCACTGGTAGTGCTGGATGTAGCCCTGGGGGCAGTCACAGCGGTATCCACCCAGTACATTCTGGCACCCGTGTTGACACCGGTGGTTCCCGTCACACTCGTCCACATCTGTGTACCACGGGGCGGGAGAGAAGGCTACATTTTAGGGTCAAGTTAAAGATCAGCCCTGCAGAGCCGGGAACTTGGAAAGGGAACCCAACAAATGAGCAGCTGCACAGATGCTCCTGGGAAGCCCCTGAGCAGGGCACAGAGGGAAGGGCTCTTGCCTGCCGGTATGCCCCAGCAACCTACATTCCAAGGTTCACTGCCCTGACACTGGAGGTTCTATCACTCACGACTATTTGCCATTTCAAAGAGGCAAGGGAGGCATGAGACTCCAGTTGCTGCCAGAGTTGGGGCTCACTATGGTTGACCACTGCTCCTAGTGGGTGGGGATGCTGGGAACTGGAGTTCAGCCCCACCAATTCATATATACACATTCACTTACTTATAACATTTCTATGCTGCCCAATAGCTGAAGCTCTCTCTGAGGTTTCTCCTAGCCTGGAACTTGCCAAGCATCCACACAGAATTGTCCCTGGGGCAGGCAACCTGACGCTTTGGGGCACAATGCTCATCATCCCCAGCAAACAATGCCAATGGTCAGGGATGATGGGTGTTGTAGTCCAGAGTATGGGGGTGTAGTTAGTCTGACTGGGACTTGGGAGGATTTGGGTTCAAGTCTCCACTCAACCATGAAGCTCACTTCGAGCCAGTCACAGACCTTCAACCCACTCTACCTTGCAGGGTTGTTGTGCAGAGAAAAGGGAGAAGTATTTTTTTTGCATGTGTTTATAGGCCACCTATAACTCCTGTGGCCTCCCTAGGTGGCGAGCACCATGCAATCCACTTGGGCTCCTTGCAATGGAAAGACAGGTGGGGCATCAGTGTAAAAATGCAGCTCCCAGAATAGCCCAGTTTGAGGCATACTGAGAACTTGCCACGGGGGTTTAGACCTGCTCCACCCCCAGAACGCACTTTTCTTGGATGTTACCTTCACAACTGTTTCCGGAGGTGTCGAGGGCAAACCCGTTCTGGCACTCACAGTTGTAACTCCCAGGGGTGTTCAGGCACTGCCCTTTGGCCCCACACAGAGTGGGCTGCGACGTGCATTCGTTGTTGTCTGCCCGAGGCCAGAAGATGGAGGGAGAGGTGTGAGCTCGTGGAAAGCACACTTCTGCCGCTCCCAAATCGGCTGCAAATTAAAATGTTCCCCGCCTCCCACGCTTCTTCAGCCACATGGAGGGAGAGAGGTTCCCTTAGGCCACACTAGATAGCAAGGTGGGCGGGAAGGGATGTTTCAGCCCACAACCCCATCATCCCTGCTGGCTGGGGATGCTAGCAGTTATCATAGAGGACTTCCCAAGGACACCAGACTGCAGTGGACATTGGCAGCGCAACCGGCAGGAGGGTGTCCGAAGTCAAGCTACATGCCCACCCCAGGGGTGTTTCAAGGTTGTTAAGGGATTTGCAGCCTCTGTCCTAGAACTCCAGCCTGCCTCAAATTCGGGCATGTTGATTCGTACCTCCACCTACAAATGTAGACACGATTCCAAAGCCACCCCACTGATTTCTTCTCCACATCCCTCAATGCATTTGCACCTTCCCTTGGGTCATGCCAAGCCAGTGGAAAAAGGTGCCCCGCGAATGATGCCTGGACCCGGGAAACAAATCTGGGGGTGGAGTCCCATGGGCCCTGGAGTGCAGGCAGGCATGCAAAACGAAAACCCTGGTGGCTTTGTGGGGATTTTGTTCTGAAAATGAAAAGCCATTTGCCTGCCTGCCCTCCGAATCAACCACCTCAACCTGCTCTCCCCACACCCAAAGTGGGGCCAGGTTACCAGCTGCCACCCTGGTGAATTGGGGGTCAGGAACCTAACAGAGAAGAAAGAGATGGCAAGAGAAGAGGGCCAGCTCGTTTTGCGCGTGTGTGGGGGAGATGGGGGGTGGCCAGTAGATATCCTTGGAAGTGCACTTCTTGGCCTGCATTTGCCCCAGGCACTGCTCCAGCAAGCGAAGGGGCAGCAGGGCCATTCCACCTGTCCCCACTGAGACGGTTGTCCTCTTGCCCCTCAGATGGAAGCAGGAGCTGTCCTCCCTTCCGGATCAAGCATAATCCAAGCCAGGGGCCTTTTAGCTCGAGAAGCCCCATCAAACTGCCCCAAATACGCAAGTACCTGCATCAAGCACCCTGGACTCCAGCAGTAAGGCAAGACACCTCACAACCCTGCCCTCTGCCCAGAAGCGCTTTTTCTGGGGGAGCCGGTGCCACAGGAAACGAGAACCCTCCGCTCCACCTGGTGGGACGCAGGAGAACTCACCGATGCAGGAAGAATGGTGCTGGGTGAATCCAGGCGGGCACCTGCAGCTGAATCCCCCGATGACATTCACACACAGGAACTGGCAGTTGTGTTGCTTGGCCGAGCACTCGTCCAGGTCTGGAACACCAGGAAGAGCAGGGCTGGGACCCCCCGTGGGAGTGGCTTGCAGCACGAGCAGGAATCCGGCCCGCGTGGGGTCCTGCTCAAGCCCTCCGAGTGGCCCTTGCCCCCTTGGCCTCCTCTCTCCCAGCCATCAACCCTTCAGCACTTCAGTGGCCCTTGAGCCGCTTCCCCACATTCAGAAAGGTTGCAATGCCTCTCCTGGGAGAGCTTGAAGCCCAGACCTGCTGGCATTGTTGGCATTTCCCGCCTCTTTTGCCTCTGCACGGCAATGTGCCCATTTGCCAAAATGGTGTCTGGCTCTCAGCCTGAAACAGGTTCTGCTCCTCTGCCCTAAATAGCATAAGATTCTAGTCCTCGTGATTCTGAGGAGTGGACTTATCTAAACAGGATCAGAGGAAGCTGCTGCATACTGTGTCAGTCTCTATAGTCCTGCTTGTCTGCACTGACTGGCACCAACTGACGCAGAGGTCTTCCTTGACCCCACTTGCAGGAACCGTGGGGTGGGCCTTGGACCTTCCATTGGCCTGGACGAGCTGCAGTCCACCACTGTGGCACAGAACCCCTGCACATCCTGGTTTCTGTAAATCCCAGATCTGTGGGGTTGGGCGAGTACAAGGCACTTTAGACATGCTCACAGGCCTGCCGTTTTCCCATGCCCTCCTCGGCAAATCCATTTTCTGTCTGTGTTTCCAGCTCACCCGTAAATATATTTTGGCCTGTTTCTACATTAGGCTTTCAGTTGTTCCTTTTGAAATTCTGCCTGGAATTTTAAGTGCTGCCCTCAGCTGCTTATCTAAATAACTTATTTTCAAATGCATTTTCTCTCAAAGCACATTTTAAACATTCTTTTTAAAAAGCTTAACAATGTAAACAATTGACTTTGGAGTCATTTTTGAGCTGCAAGCAGTGCTGAAACAGCCACAAGTTGAAAGCTGGGCAGAGTTCGTGTGTGTGTGTGTGTTTGCATGTGCAACCAGGTCCCAATCCACCTCTGATTTATTTATTCCTTTTCACTGCCTTATAAAATGAATTGATAGTCTGCCTTTCTAGTCAGAACATAAAATATGGATTGGCAGCAAAAACCTGAATTCAACAGCCCTGTAGGAACACATGCATTCAGGCAATCAGTGAAGCATGGAGTGATCCAAGAATAAACTGCGTCCAAGCCAAGGAGCCACCTGACTCTGGAGGGCGGAATGAATGAGGGGATCGCTGAGCAGCATTTGCATGGCTGCTGGCAGAAGAAGGGGATGGGAAAGCCCGTCCTACATCTGCGTTAGGGATGTTGGAGAAATCCATAAAGGATTTCAAACAGGTCTGGATTTCTAAGAATGGACCTGTGGATTCCACAGCTAATAGGTTTTCTCTAAGCATTGCAACCCCCGCCCCCGCATTGTTTCATTTTTGGGCAAGGAGGAAATTTGCACTCATTTGCATGTGCACCACGCTGCATGTGTTTGGATGCGCCCCTGTGCTAACGCCTATTAACACTAATGGAAATAGGCACAAACTGTACAGATCTCTGGTTAAAAGAACTCTGATTCTGGCAAGGAGTGGAAGAGGGGTCAAAAGACGGCGGGCAATCCATGGAACACGCAGGAAGGAGACTCGGCTACACTGCCTGGACAGAGTCCCCAGGGGCCGGTCACATTTTGTTGCCGTCGTTCGTCATTGGTATTACGTCAATCACCTTTGCAAGTCTTGCCATCCTCTTGCAGAACGTAGCCGCGTGGACAAGAACACTTGAAGCTGCCCTCAGTGTTCTTGCAAATGAAATTGCACGGCTTGGGTGACTGGCTGCATTCGTCCAGATCTGAAATTGAGAGAAGTGGGATGAGGCAGGCAAGGAGAGGCACCACAGCTCGCGACAGGACCCCCCTTAGCCAGCATGATGGGACTTGCCAATCTGACATCTGGAGGGAAGCCCCGCTTTAACCGTGTTCAAAATCGGTTTGCTCCAGGTGATTTACTTGATTGGGGTTGAAATGTCATAACACGAAAGAAAAAGAGGTAGAGAGGGAAGAGGCAAAACAAAAAAGCAGCGCACAGGCACCCCTTCTGAACTCTGGTGTCCTTACTGGGTTCTTTCTGGCAAGGAAGGGACAAAGCAGGCACCCTCCCTGGCTGATATGTGGGGGCCGCTTGGTCTCCCCTTTGCCAGGAGGCAGGAGGGGTTCTTTGGAGGATAGGTGGCCACTGGCAGGGTGGAAAAGACTGGGCTAGCGGCATGCAAGTCTTGCAGTGCCATCGCCTGCGGTTTGCTTTCCCTCACTGTTGCTGGGCTGCACCATCCACATTGGGCCGGTTCCTGCTTGAGCATTCGGTTCCATGCGGGAGCAAGCATGGCAGCTTACATTCCACGTGTGGGAAGGGGGACACAGGAGGTCCTGGCCGGGGTCCCCACTAGGCCCTGAAGCTCACTGGGTGACCTTGGGCAGGCACAACTCTCAGCCTCGCTCTTGGGGCTGCTGAGGGGATGTGGCTGAGAGGGGGAGAAGGACCCCATAGGCTGCCCGAGATCCCTATGTTTTGTCTGTGGGGCACTATAGAAATGTGGCAAGAGCCAGTGCAGCCTAGTGGTTAAAGCATGGGACTGGGAAATCAGGGGGACATGAAGCTCACAGGCTGATTTTGGCCAGTCACTCCCTCTCAGTCTAACCTACCTGCAAGGTTGTTGTGAAGATAAAAATGGAGTTGGAGGCTGCTTTGGGTTCTCTCAAAGGAAAATAGGCAGGACACAAATGCAATGGAAATAATAATAATAATAATAATAATAATAATAATAATAATAGTTGTCTTTGACTTACAGCCTAGCCTATCTCACAGGGTCGTTATCGGAATAATATGGAGGATTGTGTAAGCCCCTCTGGGTTTCTTGCAGGAAAAAGGTGGCGTCTAACTGCTTCCTGGGCGGCGTACAACAAAATATCAGACTAGCATGCACTAGGCAAAAGCAATAGTATCGAGAAAACATGTAATTCATGTTCAAGTAACTCAAAAAGAGGCTGGCTCTGCAAATACCCTGGCAGGCCGTGCCGGTGATGTCGTTCACGTAGCCGAGCTTGCAGTGGCAGCGGAAGGAGCCCATCGTGTTGACGCACTGGCCGTCCCGGCAAAGGTGGGGCAGCACCCTGCACTCGTCCGCGTCTGCGTGGGGCGGAGAGAGGCGCCCGAGGCGCTGGTCAGGGCAGCGGCCAAGGCCCCGGCCCCGGCCCGGCCCCTCTCCGCAGGGCTGGGTGCTTCCTTAAAGGCTTCTGCCTCCTGGTGGCGGCCGGCAGGTCGCGTCGCGTCCCGCCCCCTCGCAACAAGTTCGGCTGGAGGCAGGCAGGAGGCTGTTTGGGCGCTCCCTTCTCCTCCACTTAATTCAGCCCTGCCGGATTCGGCCACCAGACAGAGCGCGGCACCGGCGGCCAGGCACGGTGTGGAGCCCAAGGTTAACTCCCCGGCCCTTCAGAAGGCGGGACGGAGCCCCGAATCGCCCCTGCAGCCCCCGCCCCCGCCGCAGAGAGCCCCGCGCCCGGCCTGCCCTCACCTCTCCCGTCCGTCATGTAGCCCGCCCCGTGGGGACACATCTTCTTGTAGTGGGCCGTGCCTGGGAAGGGGCAGAGCTCGCACTGGGGGCCCCAGCCCCGGCCCCCGCTGCAGCAGCACTCGGACTTGGTCACCTGGTGGCGGTTGGTGGACGACATCTGGCACATGGTCTGGAGGACTTCCGTGAAGCAGAAACCCTGGCGGGTGTCTGGGGAGGCCGGGGGAGAGGCTGGGTCAGGCATCGGAGCAGCCCGTACTCCGTGGGCCTGGGAGCGGGGCAACGCCCTGGGCTTCGGCCTAGCAGAAAATCTCTCCTCCCTTTGGAATCTGGGGGGACGGTCTAAACCCAGCCTCACACCCCACCTCTGCTCCGCCTACCCCAAATTTCCATTTGCAGGTGTGGCTTTGGAGAGCTTTAGCAAAATATGCTTTTTCCAGAGCAGGGGGTGCAACGCACACCTGGCCAGACACCCCCCAGGCCCCGCCCACTCCAGCCACGCCAGTGGTCGGGTGGTTTCCAGCCTTGCTGCAGGTGTCTGTGCATTTCCCCCTCCCATTCTCAAAGCGTGAAGCGGTTCCCCAACAAGCAGCAAGAACTTTCAGATACAGGAGGCTGTTTTTACGGCGTGTTGGCCCCACCCCATGTCAAATGGCCCCACCCCTGCCTTTGGCCACACCCCCAGCATCCGCCCTCCCCAGTTTTTCCAGGGTGGAATTCCACACCTGTGTCCCCAACCTTTGCCCTGAAACTGCCGTGAGCCACCCAGGCCCGTGGGGTCTTGGCTGGCTGACGCGAGCTCTCCAGGCCCACCGTGCCCAAGAACTTCCGAGCTGAGTCGTTTACCAAGGCACTCGGTGCCAGAAGGGCTGCTCTGGAAGCCGTCGTTGCAGTCGCAGTGGTAGCTGCCCATGGTGTTGACGCAGCGCCCGCTGGGGCAGAGGCCGGGTCTTGTGCGGCACTCGTTCTCATCTGAGCACACGCGGGAGGGAGGGGAAGAGCACGTTAGCAGCCGGCCCTGGAGCTAGTGTGACTATTTCAGCACGCCTACTACTGTTTTTTTTTTGCAAAATTCCCAGTCCCAAGGGGAAAAACAAGGAGTTTGGTGACAACAAATGAAATGTCTCTCTCCAATTTACTGATCTATTCAAACCCTCAGCAGCTGGCCCAGCTGAAAACGATTGTTTGAAACAAAAATCAGACAAGTAAATTTTGATGTGAAGTAAACATTCTTGACCCCTACCCATTTTCCTCTCCCTCTCCAGGCAGGAGCAGGCAGTTGGAAGGGAAATCATGACAGGAGCTCTAGAACTGGTATTTTCCCATTCCATGTGGGACACATCAAGGAGCCTGCAGGACCCAAAGCCCCTCAAAATCTACGATGACCCCCCCCACACACACACACACATTATCAGGACATCAAACTGTCCTCTGCTGCAACTAAGATGTTGCACCATATCCTGCAATCCCTCAGATGCCCTCTTGCAGTCCACACAGTTGCAACCCGAACCTAAGTCAGTGCGAATGACTGTATCCTTTGTGGACACGTTCGTGGTGTCTCTTCGGGCATTCTTTAACATGTGGACCTTGTATGCATGCAATTGCAAAGGAGATTATACAGAACACTGGAGTTTCACAGCTGCTTTCAATGCAGTCCATTGCTGCCATTGCCATGGGGACTAGAAACTTGAGCTTTTTAATACTAACACTAACACATGGGCATCACCTGTACAGCCTTCAGCATCCGGTCTGCGTTGCATCCCAGGAGGGCAGATGCAAGTGAAAGTGCCAATGAGGTTCTTGCAAGTCATCCCATGAGATTCACAGTCCTGCATCCCCTCTATGCATTCATCCAAATCTAAGAGAAGACGGAGGGTAACTAGTGTGAGAAGTAGAAAGTTCATAGCTTGCTGGCAGAGCACACAACTTGCATTTTCCCTACCTATCAGCATTTTATTAGAATCATGAGGTCTAGAATCTTTATTTTATTTCCAGTCCAGGCAACAAATCCAGTCCTCTGCAGCCTCACTTTGGCCTTCCTGGGTGCCCCAGTATGGCTTTGTCCTTTCCACATGCACCAAATCTGTTTTGGGGTCTTTTTGGGTGTTCTCTCATCCCCCTGCCCCCCAATTTAAAAAGAAACACTCCTTGACCCAAAGCAAGCTGGCACATTGGCATTCTGGCCCCACTCCATTTGCATCCAGCCTCTCCCCCAACCAGGCCTGGAATCTGGCCCTGGCAGGTTCCACAAAAGCGCATTTGGCCCTCAGAGGGACAGCGGTCCTGCACCCTCACATTAGAGGGAAGGGCCACTCGGCCACACCAGGGCGCCTGCTCCCCGCAGATGGTCTGAGAGCTCCAGCTTGTGGCTCCCTTGTCATTAAAGGGTTCCGCCTTCAGTGGCACTGACCCTGGACGCTGAAGCCAATTCCCCCCGTAGGACCAGACAGCTCCCTACCAGCTCAGGCTGCAACCTGAGTGGACACACTGCCCCACGGACTGTATGGCTGGAGCCTCCATGGGGCTGGAACCCCTAGCCTCTCCAGGTAGACCCCATTTGAGAACCTGAAGGACGGTTCTGCACGTCTGCATTTCTGCAGGGGGAAATGGATGCAGACTGTTCTGAGTTAGGTTGACAGGTGGATTAACATGCTAGCATCCCATGTTCCTATTTAAATCAGAATCATGAGGACTAGCATCTTTTATTTTTTTCGAATGTTAAAGCAACGGAATTGCACTCATGGAGGTATAAGAGAAACATAGAAACAGAGCGAGTCAGAAGGGTCCTCCCATGCCATCTAGTCTGACCCTCAGCTCCAGCCAGCTCCTCTCATGACATGCCCACCATGTGCATGTCCAGCCTATCTCTGAACACCTTCACTGATGGGGCCTCCACCAACTCCCGGGAAAGCCCAGTCCACACCCTCAGGGTTCTGACTGTCAGGAAGTGCTTCCTGGCATCCAAATGGAACTTGGGTTCCCTGAGCTTTGCTCCGTTGGAGCCCGTCCTGCCTTCCTCTGCAGGGGAGAACAGGTCTCTGCCCACCTCCGTGTGACACCCCCTCACATACCTGTGCGTCGCCAGCACATCCCCTCTGAGTCTCCTCCAGCTGAAGAGACCCAGTTCCCTCAGTCTCGCCTCATACGGCATCCCCTGCAAACCGGCCACCAACCTTGTGGCCCTGCGCTGCACTGACTCCAACCTGGCCATATCCTTCCTGCAACGAGGGGCCCATAACTGAGCACAATACTCCAGTTGTGGGCGCACCAGAGTCGTGTAGAGTGGCAGTAATACCCCTCTTGATCCAGAAGCCACACTTCTGGCTATGCAACCAAGGGTGGCATTCGCCCTCTTGACCACCGCATCACACTGCTGACTCATGTTCAGCCTTCAGGCGACCCGCACCCTGAGGTCCCTTTCACAAGTGCAGCTCTCCAGCCACTTGTCCTCTAACCTGTACTTATGACACCTATTCCTATGTCCCAAGTGCAAGACCTTGCACTTATCCACACTGAACGCCATCCTGTTGTCTCCTGCCCACTTCCATAGTCTGTCCAGATCCTTTTAGATCTGGAGTACCTGCTCCTCAGTCATGGCCACTGCTCCAGTTTTAGTGTCATCTGCGAATTTGCTCAACAGACTGTTCACCCCTTCTTCCATGTCGTTAATGAAAAGAGTAAACAGGATCGGCCCCAGGACAGAGCCCTGGGGACCCCGCTTGTCCCTGGCCGCCATCCCGATGATTCCCCACTAATGGTTACCTTCTGCTTTCGGTCAGTCAACCATGCCCTAATCCACTGGACAGTGCTTTGGTGTATCCCAAAACTGCTCAGTTTCTCCACCAGGATATCATGGGGCACTTTGTCAAAGGCCTTGCTGAAATCCAGGTAAACCACATCCACTGCATCCCCTCCATCTAGCCATCCCGAAACCTTGTCATAATTCCACAAGGTTTGTCTGGCAGGACCTGTTTTTGCAGAAGCCATGTTGTGCGGCTGCCGGCCTCCCTTCCCTATCTAGCATCACTAGATCTCTCGCTATTATGAGCCTTTCCATTGTTTTTCCTACAATGGACGTAAGGCTAACAGGTCTATTAATCCCCATGTCCCTTCTACTACCCTTTTTGAAAATTGGGACCACTGATGCCATCCTCCAATCCTCTGGAGCTTCACCCGTTCTCCATGAGGCCTCAAAAATGGAGGCCAGCGGGTGTGAGAGAACCCCTGCCAACTCTCTAAGTACTCTCAGGTGTAATCCGTCAGGGCCTGGCGCCTTTGTAATGCCCAATGCCCTGAGGAGCCCCTCGACTTCAAGGGGGGGTGACTGTAATCTGTGCCCCTAAATCCCCAGCCTCATCTAATCTCCTATGCGGATCTCCCCCGTCCTGCTTTGGGGAGAACACAAAGGCAAAATAGTCATTTAGCATCTGTTCCTGTTCCCTCGTATCAGTCACTGGATCTCCTTCCTCCTTATTTAGTGGTCCCACCACTTGTCTCCCCTTCCTCTCCCTATTTACATGCTGAAAGAAGCCCTTTTTGTTGCTCTTGATATTCTTGGCAAGTCTCAGCTCGTAATCAGCCTTAGCCTTGCGAAGAATCCTTCTGCAACAG